TTTTTTTTTAAAGTCCTTTCACATTTAGGATCAGATACTGTAATGTGACTTTTTGAAAGTTTTTAGAACTTGTCACAAATACAAAAACTAACATTAAAGTCTATCATTTTTCAACTTTAACAAGACTAGTCCTATGGATTGGGATAACAGTTGTATGAGCCCCTAATAAAATGTTAAAAAAGAAAGAAAAAAAAAAGACTAGTCCTAAATATTTTTCTTTTCTCTTAAGTTTGCCCAAATTTGTAACCTGAAAATATAATAAAAGGGAATACAATTTTTATGAATCAACCAAAGGAAGCATTTCACTAGTTTCCTTTGGGTTGATGATTTTACTCACATATTGCCAAGATCGCTAATTACAAGTAGTTTACTAGTAGTTTTAGATCAGCAGTTCTGCTTTGGGGCTCAAGCGACCTTTTCACAGGGGTTGCCCAATTCATAACAGTAGCAAAATTACAGTTATGAAGTAACAACGAAAATAATTTTATGGTAGGGGGTCACCACCACATGAGGAACTAACTGTATTAAAAGGATATGGCATTAGGAAGGTTGAGAACCACCGTTTTAGATAGATAGAGAGGGAGAGAGAGAAATATAGACACAAAAAAGCCACCTCTAGTTGATTCCAGCTTGTAATAATCCTGTGAGACTATGTAGAATTACTCCAAAGGTCTTCAAGGAAAGTGAAAAACCTTTCTACAGGCTGACTGCCACATCTCCCTCTTAGGACTGGCTGGTAGCTTCTAAGTGCCAAGCTTTCCGTTAGCAAAGTCCTTTGAACCAGCGCATCAGGCTCCAAAATGTTGACAGATAGCTAAGTAGTCCCTGGAAGCATAATGAATTACTCACTGAGCTGTTGGCAAACCCACCAGTTCTCTACAAGAGAAATGAGGGGCTTTCAATGTTCCCATAAAGAGCAAAACAGGAGTTTTACTTTGTTTTGGTTTTGTTGTTTGTTTGGGGTTTTTTGGGGGTGGCGGGGGAATATGTATTATACTAGCATCACTACTCTCATTAGAATCACTATCAAAAAAAAAAGAATCACTATCAGGTAAGGTAGAGTCCAAACACCCTACCACCATTACCACCACAACAGTTTTGCTAAATCAGGAAGCAGGGCCCAGAGATCTACATTTTTTAAAAACAAGCTCCTCCAGATGATCCTACTATATAATACAACTTGAGAAGAAAACGCTTCATATATATTTTCCCCACTTCTTTCTATTATCGCTTCAACATATACAGCAATTATATGAAGGCTAATTTAGCCCATAAAGATAGTACTTTCCTTTTAACATTATTTCAGGCTTTAAGAATCACCTAACAAAGTAAGCAAGTGGCTTACCTCAAGAATATTGCCCTCTGTGGAGTGCCCAAACAGTAGCTTCTGTGCCTCTACGCTCCCTGAAGAATAGATGTACACCTTCAGTCCAGCCTCTCTCCATTTTCGGACCGCTGGTACGACATCTTCAAAGAACCTAGAAGGAAGATCACTGAGTTCAAGTGCATAAACACATCATCTAGCCAGATGGAAATCTGGCAAAATAGATACACAAGTTCCTTTATAACGTCCACAAAGGGTCACCATGAGAAACAAGTCCTAAGAGACTTCCAACTCCTAAAGTTCTAATAAGTCTATTGCCCGAATTCCAGGATCACAGCAGATTAGAAGCAACCTTTTCTGTGGAGAGAAGAATCCATTAATAATAGTAATAGCAAATAATAGTAAAACGTGTTCCTGGATAAAAGGATGAAATGAGAATGTGGTGGAAAAATTCTCAAGGAATTTAAAAGAATAAATAATATTGTACACCATTCTATAATCTTTGAGGAAACAGTTCAAGGATGACTACTTTAAGAAATATTAAAAAAAGAGGGGG